TATATATGCTGTATATACATATATTAGAGGTGCAACAATACATGTAGCCGTATTGAACCGTTCAATACAGCGCTTTAGGTTGTTTACACACTTGTATCGAACAATACCGATTTTTTTATTATTTGATCAACTTGTCTTCTGAAGATGCTCTGTGTTGAAGGATCAGTGGATCTGTGTTCGACTACTCCACCTAGGCTGTATTTTTGAGCTCAGATCCACTGAGAAACTTGCTGTTTCAGCAACATTTAATTTAAAAACTGTACTTTTGAGGTTAAACAAATGTACATAATTAATTAAAATAAATTCCAAGTTAAAAAGGGCATGGAAATTTTTCTTTTTTTGTATCGAAAAAATATCGAACCGTGAGACTAAAGTGTTGAACCGAACCGAATCGTGAATTCTTTGTATCGTTGCAGCCCTTCTAACTTCATACATTTAATTTATCAGCTTTAAACATACTAAAGTCGTTTTTTTTATTTTACTGCCACATACCTCAGCCTTTCTACTGCTGAGCTTTTGTGCCATAAAAATGTTGAAATCTCAGAGCATTAAAACAAGTTTGTTTGTCACCTAGCTAGTTAGATTTAAGCTTCACTTGGCCCTTTTTTTTGCAACCATCTGGATACTGCAGCTGTGGAGATTCCACCACAATGGTTTGAAAGTGAAACTGTTGCTCGGACAGAACTCGACTGACGCACACAGCGCAGACTAGTGGTGTGGAGGAAAACTATTAACAACTATAAATATTGTAGAATAATCAGTTTAAATACTTAGCAGAAAAAAATCATTTCAGTTCAGACAAAACAAGGAGATACACCAGAAAAGATGCTCGTTTTATCTTGTTAGAAAGCATTGATATGAATGAGACAAAAAGCGTTAGATCAATACAGAGCATTCCTCAGATCCTTAAAACCTTCTCAAAACTTCCTGCTAATTGTAAAAAAACAAAGTGTTAATTTTCTCCACTTTACACCCACACCTGCAGCAAACATGAATCTAAAACTTTTGTGGTTTTTCACAGGTCCCACCGTCGAGGAGACCCTGTCAGTCCGTATTTTGTCAACTCCGGCTACATCTTCGCCCCCGCCACCAGTGCCAATGACAGCGAGGTCTCCAGCGACGCCACGACGGATGACTCCATGTCGATGACCGACAGCAGTGTGTGAGTTGTTTTTGTTTTAATCAGAAAGCTGTTCGGACAGATTAAACCTGAAAAAAAAGAAAGAAAAGAAAATAGCTTAGTTTCCGTGAAGCTCGCCGCAGCCAAAGCTTTTATTATTTCCAGCGTATCTGACGGAGCCGCAGCCAGATTTCAGTCAACACCTTTCCAGGAAAACGTCCAGGGGTGTGAAGAAAAATATTTGGCCTTGTAACTCAACAGGCTGAGCTTTTCTTGGGGCCGGGGGACCGCATGTTGAGGAATAATGGCATGTAATGTATTTTAATTATCCTCTCCGATTGACTCCAGGTAATTCTGCTAATGTGTAGTTGTTGCTGAAGGCCTCTGGGGAGATAACTCTGGGAAAGTCATTATGTCTGAGGACCTTTTGAAGTTTATTCTGATGTGTTGCAGGCTGGAGAGAAGAGAGGGGGAAAATAAGACCGTCTTGATGTGGGTGGGGGCGTTGTCTCTTTTTCCTCAAAGTTGATATGTATCCATCCCACCCACCCTTCTGCCACAACAGACTTTTTTTTTTCTTTTTTGTATTATCTAATCGCTTTTTCCCTTTGAAGAACTGGAGGAGTAGGGTGGGGGAGGGAAATGGCTATTCGGGCCTCAAGACAAACTCATTGAAAAAATGTTGGCAGCGTATAAAAGAAGGCTTACTCACATGGTGGGTCGGTTTCCTGCCACTGGCCTCTGCGGCGTGCTGAGATCATGTGTCTGCAAGGCTTTCACAGGGGTTACTCATTTCTAGACCCTGTGACAAAACATAAGGGAACCCCCCCCCCCCCCKACACACACACACTGTTTCTCCTCCTCATGGCTACACTGGGTCACCTCTAGCCATAAAGCTTTCTACGGCTCCTTCCCTCCACCTTCCAGAGCTGTGAGCAGGGGTGGTGAGCCTCCGAGTGCACGGCAGTGAGAAAATAAAGTGCACGGAGTATAAAGGGTTTAACTGAATCGCTTTCAGCCTATTGTTAGGTGAGGGGAGCTTAGCGGGATAAGAGGGTGGCTGGCTGCTTTGAAAATGACTTGCACTACTGAATAGGAGATCCCCATAAAGTGACGGCCCACAAAACCATGAAAAAGTTCACGCCTYTTTTCCCTAACCTGGACAAAGCTCCTRGCTGTCAACTCACATGGACTTGGARGGCTCACAAACTTTGGGGTTCTTGTTAGCAAACAGGTTCCTCTGAGCTGTTGAGCTTTGTAAAGAATTTCCCGTGATGCTTCCTGTTTTGTTTTAGTAAAGAATAGTCTCAAATCTGCAGTTTGTAAAGGACTGATTCTTCTTAAAAGAAGCTGGTGATGTCACCAGGCTCAAAATGCTGTAGTAACTATACCAGGCCTGTATGTGGCGCTGCAGCCTGCTATGAAAACACAGCAGAAACAGAAGAAGATGTGGAGATGAGTGTTSGAGAGCAAAAACCAAATCCTTTTTATGGACTAGTGACAAAACAGAACTTGTCTTTCATGTTACATTAAACTCTTACTGACTGGGAATTCAAATCTGTGGACATGATGGACAATTTCAGGCTCCGCATCCAGATAGAGGTGAAGGGAAAGTGTTTTCCTCATGAAGTTTTAAATTAATTCAGAGTAAATTCTTTATGCATAAAACTCTTARTTGATGCATATTGATCTGTTTCTTCAGTAAAGTGATAGAGATGTTTATGATTTAGATCAGGGGTTCTCAAACARTTTGGATCTGGGGACCCCTTACAAGGGTGAAAGAATTTGCAGGGATCRCTTCATAAACGCCATGCTGTGTTTTTTATTTTTTTGTTTTTTGTTTTTTTATCACTTTCATTTTAACCCATAAATGCCATAAGAATGTTATGTTTTGTTTGGTTTAGTATGTTTATTTTACTAGTGCATTGTTCCCCATTTGCATGTTAAAAAAAAACAACAAACAAACAATTTCTTGCAATTATTTGAGGACCTCCAAGTTATGGCACGCGGACCCCTGGGGGTCCTGGGACCCCAGTTTGAGAACCRCTGATTTAGATTATTGTGTGTAATAAGGTTTTAGTCTTTAATCAATGAATTGTTATTGTTTAWTGAAGTAATACAGTATAAAACAGTAGAAGCAGGTAATCTGTCATTCATGGGGTCAAAGGTTAGGCAGATGACATCATAGTTACCAAAAGCTCAAGTTTAGCTCATCTACATGAGAATGCAACAGGAGGTTTAAAATGTTTTCACACTAAATCATTGTTTCCATGTGAACACAAGGCCGAGCAGATAAAAAACTTTGTGTTTCTGCTGTTCCTGTGTGGACAGGCCTCTCACACGGACTGGGTGAAGCTGCCACGTTGAAACAAACGGACTAATTGCTGAACAGTCTCATCTGTCAAAGTCATATTCTTTAAGTCTTTAACAAGGTCTTTGACTCAAATCTTTTTGTCCTTGTACTCAGCTCTCACCCCCACCACCCCTTCAGCCACACACACACATTRGAGGGAGCTATTTGATTAGCGTGTTCCTTTATAGTGCTTAAAAGACACATGGAAAATTTGAATCTCATTTCCGAGATAAAAAAAAAAAACAAGAAGAGACGGTTTGTAGGAAGGGAAGCTGCAAGAAAAGGGGTGTGTGGGGGGATTTTTTTCTCTCTTTTTGCTTATATCTTATTTATGGATTTATTTGGACGCTGGGGAATGCTGCTGCACCAACTTCAAACATTACCTTATCTTACAAACCAGCCTTTTGATGTTGCTGAGATCAGAGGCTCGCTGCAGAGCGCTTGCCAAACGATGATGGCAGTGGGTGCATATGTGCATGAGTGTGAGATTTCAAAGAGGCAGCAGAAAAAGTGGCGTTTGGGCTAGGTCAGACACTTCTGAGCGGCCAAAACGGCCATGATAATTGGCCGAGCTTAAGTGGCAACTGACTGGAAAAGCCAACAGACAGAATGAAAAATGGAGGATGAGATTCTGAGAATTACCGTCTTAATTGTCAAGAGACTTTTAGCGTTTCTCATTATGTCTCTATTTTTGAGACATTTGAGCTGTGCACCATTTGCTAAGCTGCTAAAGGCTTATGTTGGTAAACTGAATGTTAAACTAGCTGCTAAAGTTAGCATCAGTTCCTCTGCCTGTCAGATAAACACAGTGACATCAGTGATAAGACTAAAGAATCTGGCTTTTTAAAGCTCATAAGGAAATTCRTTAGCATAGTTTTATCACTGTCCTACCATGGTTTTAGTTTTGTTGGCTTCTAATAARATAAGTATCTAATAAAGGGTTCAAAATGGATTATTATGGGATGTAAAGGTGCCTTCTAAACATTAGCACAAGCAGTTGTTGCAAAGATAAGCTGAGAAAACCTTGGCTGTGGTGCAAGCTGGTTAAAGGCAGCTTTTGTCTGTGTTTRACATTTCAATAAAAGTAAATGTTTTCTCTCTTTAATTACAGCGATGGGATCCCTCCGTACAAGCTGGGCACCAAGAAGCAGCTGCAGAGGGAGATGCATCGCAGTGTTAAGATCAACGGCCAGGTTACGCTACCCCACTTTCCTGTAAGTCCTACCTCCTAAAACTCCACTTCCTGTATTTATTTATTTATTTGTTTATTTATTTATTTATTTATTCATTTATTTATTTTAAATGTCATATAAT